GTAAACGCATGTGTGCCTCTGATATTTCATATTCAAGTAGTGTGTGTGTGTGTGTGTGTGTGTGTGTGTGTGTGTGTGTGTGTGTGTGTGTGTGTGTGTGTGTGTGTGTGTGTGTGTGTGTGTGTGTGTGTGTGTGTGTGTGTGTGTGTGTGTGTGTGTCAGATTCACATTCCAAATATGTCCTCCCATTACGACATTCGAGGAGTTGTTTTTCAGCAATGATAAGAGATGTTTACCAGTGAAATCTTTAAAGAAAGTAAAAAGACCCAGAAAATGTGTTTTTAACTTATACTAAGTATAAAATGCGTTTGGAGGAAATAGTTTTTCTGTAAGCTGCAGTAATCAACATTTTCATATTGAATGAATCACGTGACAAATCATTTTAAGGTTGTCCCATATAGCAAAAAGCATTTATAGTGTCTTTCAGCCGATTGTTTTTGGTTTGCTGCAATGTTACTGTTTGGATTCAGTTTTCAGTCAAAAAAAAGAAAATCAAAAAAACTCACTGTAAAGGGGAGAACATATTAACCTTTTTTCAAGTAGCTAGAAACAGAACTGAAAATAATTACCATGGAGCTGCTGAATTGATTCAAAGCCAACTGTTTGCAATACATTTACCATATCAACTATCAACTTCACAAGGTAAGGTAGTTTTGTATTGTCTGTTTGTTTCCATTCTTTCTGAGAGTAACATCACAACACTGACACAACCACTCTCATTTGTGTAAGTTATGTAAGGAGCTAAAGAGCCAGGCGGTGATTAGCTTAGCCTAGCATCAAAAGTTGAAGCACGGATAAACAGTGGGCTCTGTCTATAATCAAAACGTGGTTTACAACATGTTATCCTTCCACCCAGTCAATATAGACTTTAACGGGACATATAACATGTCTAAGTCAGCCACGCCCTGAAGCCTGTCCTGCTTTACTGTCTATTTTACTCTAAATTGGAATATTATTTGGAAAATGGACATCATGCGGTATTGTAAAAGAAGATAAACTAGGGTAAGGTAGCAAATCAAGTAAGACTTATTTTTGCAATCAGAGGATAATTAAAATAAATGCAGGTTATTAAAGGCACTTGTACATTGGCAAAACCCAGGGGATGGCCCTTGTACACAATGTTACTTCCCTCAAACCCCAGTTTGTTGCTTTACATTACTGTTGGATTGTGTAGGGATCAAATAATCATCATATATCAAGTCATTTAGTTTGTTGGAAAGGTGTTCATAGGCCTATTATTGAAAATGCTGCTAGCTGTTTTCCCCTGCTTCAAGTTTTTTTATACCATTGTTTTATTGCAATGCTAAGCTCCTCCTGGCTTTAGTGGCAATCTTTCCAAGCCACATGTTTAACAGTAGGAAGCTGTCAAGTTGTTAAATGCATAGTCTACCTACAAGGTCACAACAAAAAAACTGTTCTAGATGGATACTTGTTAGCACCATAAAAAGCATGTATTCTGTTCATTTATCACATTAATGAAAGGTAGTACAGCAGACATTGTAGCACTGAGGCCCTATCTGCAACATAACATGTATGGTCCCTGGTCTCGCCTGATTGCAACAGATTCAGTAAAGAAAACCTCATTGCTACCGTCAGTGTGGACATCATTATTTAGCTGCTCGCCTTGGACTCCAGTGATTCCCTTGACTACCTCATCAGCATTCATTACTACTGAAGAACAGGGGGACCCAATATGTCAGCACTTGTGTGTGTGTGGGGGGGAAAACGTGTCGCTATGTATGTGCGTGTCAATCTGGGTCATTATATCCACAGGCATGAAAAAGCGGGTTATAATGACACACATCCCTTCACGTGACAATGGAAATTAGGGAGGGGGGGGTCTTCATTATAGCATCCGTCGTTGCCACCTGTGAATACTTGCACTTCACACTGAGATTGGAAAAAAACGGTATAACATAAGTGTGTGTGTGTGTGTGTGTGTGTGTGTGTGTGTGTGTGTGTGTGTGTGTGTGTGTGTGTGTGTGTGTGTTTGTGTTTGTGTTTGTGTTTGACATGAAAAAAAAAACTTGGGGCCCTGCCAACATGGTGACAGAATGTGCTGTGTGTGTGTGTGTGTGTGTGTGTGTGTGTGTGTGTGTGTGTGTGTGTGTGTGTGTGTGTGTGTGTGTGTGTGTGTGTGTGTGTGTGTGTGTGTGTGTGTGTGTGTGTGTGTGTGTGTGTGTGTGTGTGTGTGTGTGTGTGTGTGTGTGTGTGTGTGTGTGTGTGTGTTCCAACTATAAGTCTGCTGGGAAGCCCGGTCAACAGACAGGCCAGTCCCCATAGCAACAGAAACACCATTCCCCCTCTGTGCCAAGTTGTAAATATGGAACTCACATAAAAATATGGACTGACTGTTGAAAAGTTTCAGGACATTTTGATACACAAGGGGGAGTCGGACACTTGTTTCCCTCTGATGAGCTATAACATATTCCATTTGAAAGATAGTATTAAAATATCTGAAACAAGACTAAAAAGCACAAGGCGTTATTACAAGTATTGGTTAAATACTCGATTATGATTGGTCCATTTGGACATTGAGGTCTGCTAATCAATGGACTCAATGTTTATTTTTTCAATCAATGTTTATTTATATAGCCCAATATCACAAATGTTACATTTGTCTCAGTGGTCTTCACAGTGTGTACAGAATATCAGTATGACAATACGACACCCTCTGTCCTTAGACCCTCACATCGTACAAGGAAAAACTTCCAGAGAAAACCCACAGTTTAAAGGGAAACATGGGAGAAACCTCAGGGAGAGCAACAGAGGAGGGATCCCTCTCCCAGGACAGACAGACGTGCAATAGATGCCGTGTGTAAATTGAAAAGATAATACATTTGCAACTACTATTTGCAGTCATATAAATCTGCAGCTGTAGAAGACAAACAATATTTTTCTTCAACAGAAAACACCATAGAATACTTTTTCAATGTGAAACTTTGGATTTATGATGGTTAAACTGTCCACAATGAAGAAAAGAAAAAAAGAGAACAATAAGAAGATAACAATGCAAGAGAAGGAAAGATGTTAACTGTCTGTCTTCTTTTTTTATTAATTTACTTAATACAAAACTGAGTTGGTTACTTGATTCTGATTGGTCCATTTGGAATCTTTCAGTCTGTTAATTCCGATAGCAGACTGCGTATGGGATTGCTGCTAAGGACGCCAGCAGATCACTGATGATGCTCTCATCTTTGGATCTAATTCTGTCAAAACTGTCAGAAAGCTGTTCAATTTAAAGTCAGCTGTGCCCCTCAAAGAAAGCACTGAAGCTTTCGGCACCAGAAAACCTCATGGAGTACTTTTATTATATCATGGAGAGCACAAAACATTGGATTCCTGGGAACATGGTGTGGACTCTGGCAGTGTTTGATGACTGGTTCATGGAAAATCAAATGTGAACAGACTTGGACAGTTAAAAAACATTTTAAGATACACTGCTATCACAGCAGTTTAAAGGTTGGTACTTCAAAGCAAACCTAATAAAACATATAGGATCATTTTGAAATCAATAACATGATATTTAAATCAATATGTTGATTCACCCTGTGCTCACAATGTTGGGGTTCCTTTAACATACTTAAAAAACCTATTCAAACTCTCTGTGCATTTATTCAAGAAAAGTATATAACATACTAAACATCCAAATGTGTCTCTCTCTGATACATGACCCTTTTCCTAGCACCAGTGGAAAAGTGATTTTTACTGAACTAACTTCCCTGATGATACTCACACGCAATACAGAAATTAATTTCCACTTGATACAAACAATAATTACAATGACATGAACATGCCGATGGTGTAATGATGTCAAGTCAGCTGAAAGCTCTTTCTAACTCATTATGCAAATGATGCAACAATAGTCAATACTGTATCATGGTGGCATGTTATATCAAACACCCAAGGGTGCACGCTCTAGCACAGCTTGTACTGCCAGTTAAATTACTTTGGGGACTAAAGCAATACTTTGCGGTCGGTTTAACCAAAAGCTTCTCTCATGTGAAGCCATGCTAATGCACATCCTCTTTACGGAGCAGGCTCCATGTCAGGCCATGCATTAAACATGGAGCGGTTGAAGGGAAAACATGTTGGAATACAAATAGTTTTGAATTGGAAATGTTGCCTCACCATATTGTTGAATAGATAGATAGATACTGTAGATAGCAGCAGTGTCAAGCATTACGCGAGTTGCAAATGTTTAAAATATACAATAACGTACAAATATAATTAAAAATAATAATAACATTAGCGGCAAATATATATAGTATGAATACATTCATTTTAAATTAGGTGACTATTCTTACCTATCCTATATTTACGAGTCATAGGTAGTTCAAGATTCATAAATAGAATCATAAATAAATCAAGTTGCTTCTTTATTTTTGAACTATGACCACAAACACCTTCTCACGGAAGTGTGGAAAAACATTTTTTTATCCATTTTCTAAGTCTGATCTACATACCTTTTTCATACCGTGTCACACACATAAAAAATAGTCACATTTGGTCAAAAAAAGGTTTTTAGCAAGGGATTTTTTCCCCTTGTTTTCACATTAAAAAAGGTAAAAGGCATAAATTAAGTTATGAAAACACTGTAACAACTTTTTTGATCAGAATAAAATCTCACTTGCCTCTCATGGTTTCCAAATAGTTGTTTATATTCACTACATTCCTGTCTACGCCACTGGGATCCCTATTGACTTGCAATGTCCCATTCCTCCAGCAGAGGGGGCTCTGCATGCATAATTACCGTTTGACCACATGTCTAATCCCCTCCACGTGGACTCAGAATCAGAATCAGAGACAATGCCTTGATTACTGCTGGGAATTTCCCAAGGTGTGCCATGCAAAGGGAGGATCAAGGTAAGAGTCTTACCGTAAGACCGAGACAGACAGGGTAAGATTCATTGTTCACTGTGGGAAAGTATGTCCTGGTAATGATTGTTAATAGCACTTAGAATACAAAAGGTGTGGCTTTAAGTCTGATAAGTGCCATTATGTGCACACAACATATAAATGAATACACAAACACACACACATTTTCCCATTATATGACCATTACCTAAGAGGAAAACACATTATGTGTTTGCATATGTATTCATGCTCTTCCTTTTATCATGTTAAGAACTACATTATCAGAACAACATGAATGTAAGAGTAAGCATTTAAATCAACTTAAATGTTTCTACTTTGACCAACTTACTTGTGATGTTTGAGATAAATCTATATATTATAGTTACAATACATGGTTGGTTATGGTTGGAATGAGGTCAAGTGAGGTGGTTGCTTAAATAAGGTTAAGATTTGGGGTTAAAAGTTAAATTCAAAGACTAAAGGAGTGGTAATTGTCTAAATAATGGTCCTGACAAAACCAGCAGAACAAGACTATGTGTATTCATGTATCTGCAGACCTTGAGCTCTCTGCCCTGATACCACACAAACTGAGTGTCTAGTATCACTGAAAAACAGCTTTTGGTGGAAACCCAGCTGTATTGACTGATGACAGCTTTGGTTTCATTTTGCGTAATGCCAAGTGCAGTGGCAGTTTAGGGTGAATCTCACTGAACTGATGACTTATTGTTGTCTTCACTCCGACTGAAATAAACCACAAGTCGGTTTGGATTATGTTTTAATTTTTGACTTTTTGACAGCGTGCATTCGTTGGTTATCATAGTCAGAACAGAAGTTGTGTTTTTGAGAAAAGTGGATATATTCATACTCACTCTTTATTACTTTTTATGACTGATCTATCATATAATGCCTAATCTGATCATGTCTACAATTTTAAAAAGCCTGTACACAACATTTTTTACATCATAATGTTTCCTACACTGTGAAGTTGTAGTTTAAAAAGGATTACAATAAACATCATGATAGCTAATGTTACTATTAGCTTGATGTTAGTTAGCTAATGTTAGATAGCTTAATGCTAACTTACTGATTCTGTTTGTTAACTACTTAAATTGGTGACGTTATATTTTACTGTTCCATGATTACCAAATAATATAGGACAACACTTGGTACTTATTGGAATGGAAACAAAAAAAAGTTTAAAAGTGTAACCTGAAGAGTCTTTAGTGAGTGCTCTAAAGTTCGGCTGAAAATAAAGTTAAATGTATGACTACCCGGTCAAGCGTAGCCTACAGTGTTTTTCTCTCAATTTTAAAACATATTTTATGATAATCGGTGTCATAATTCAAAGTTCTGTCTAAGAAACCAACATGGAAGTGTTTTTAAGTTACTGATCTGTGTAAAACACCCTTTGTTCTTCTTGTAATGGTTTCTTTTTGTTATTTACATTTTCCTGTTACCTAACAAACCCTTGGTCACCTACTTAACCAAATGAAAACACAATGTAAGTGAAAAATGTGCCAATTGTATTTACAACAAGGTTTTATTTCCTGTAAACACTGTCAGTGTGTCACACCTGGACTTCCCTGACAGGTCATTAACAATCTGAGACAGGTTAGTCATCTGCATGGATGACTGTATGGTTATTAGCTAATAGCTATAATTCCTCAGAAGCATATGACTGACATTTAGGCCAGTTATCTGGAATCATCTGAGCCAACCACAAAACAATGAGCTCTTGCAGTCATGATAAGTTTCAACAACCTGTTGACGGAAAAATCCAGTGGAATAAATATCCAGATTCCTTCCTGCACATGTGGTGTTGTGATTAATGGTTTGATACGGCGGCAGGACGTCCTGGAGGAAGTAAAAGAAAGAAGGGGGAGGGTAAACACAGCAGCTATACAGAGACTGTCAGTTTTATAAAGTCAGAAAAGTCCTACGCTACTACTAAAGGTTACAGAGCCTGTCAGGGGAAATTACATTCCTTGTGTCCTTGAACGCAGCTAAACAGACTCACAAGGGAGAAAATGATAAACATGAAGTTATTTATAGCAACAGATAAAGAAGGGGAAACATTTAACTTGATATAATTAAACCAACTTGAAACTTGTTTGAATTGTAAGTGAGATAAGACTGAGAAAATAAAGGAATGTGGAAGGAGGAGATCCAAAAAGCCGTGATGTCAGGCCGTCCCACTGCTATTCAGTAGAAATGCAGCACAACAGAGTCGAGCCTGCATACCATTGCTGCTGCTGACGACTGCTCTGATCCCACACAAACACACACACACACACACACACACACACAAAGGCACACGTCACACACACATCATAGCACACTCGGAGAGGAGCTGAAACTCAGAGCGGTGCCTGGAGATGCGACCGGCTGGCAGCCACTGAGTGAGTCCACCTTCCCTCCTCTGTTAAGTGTCTCTCTTTTCTTTGTCTGTCTTTGTTGTGATTGCCATTCTACGGGCCGTCTAAGTTCATTTGTCTCTCCTCTGTCGCTGTGAAACGGCCACTGTTTTCTCACACTGAGAGACTTTTCAAACTTTTCTCTCAGTATGCTGTGCACATACTCTCCTCCTCTCTCTCTGCTTTTCTTTCTTTCTTTTCTTAGCATGTGGTCAGAGGGAGGATGAAATCCAAGAGCTATTTGCACGTCAGGCACTGAGCCAGACCTTTACATTTGTATAGCAGAATATTTTTCTGATGTCTTTTAGGATGCTCATGTCTCATTTGTTTCCATTGGGATGCCATACCCTTGTGCAAATGTATAGTTAATTTTAGGAGCTGTGATTCTTTCACAGAAATATTGAGCAATATGCCACTGAGTGGGCTGTAAACATTCAAGTCAGTTCCAGTTGCTCTTAATCACAGTCTGAAACTCTTACATTGTGAAAGAATGAATGAAAACACACCCTGCAGACAATGACCATAACATGGATCACTCAGAGAAGCCTTGAAAAGAGACTTGAAATATGCAGTTTAGAGTTGATTTAATAGATGATTAGTACTAATTATGCGGTTAAACTGTCATGTACATACAAATAAGTGAAGCAAAAATAACAGTGAGTTTAGCTAAGGTTTGGATAAAGTTTTTAGATGTTTAGGTTTTTGAGCTGCTACTTTTTTGATTGCCACAAATAATTAGTTGTTGGTATTCTTATATATCTATTCAAAGCAAGCTGCTCCCTCCATGTTCTTTACCTCTATTAAAGTCATATTTTTTGTAGACATAGAATTTAAAATCAATGTTTGTTTGTTTTTCACAATATTTGCATTCAGTCCTGTCTTGCTTTCAGAGGTAGATATAATTGCTTTCAGGCTCAGTTAGACCCACCTCCAATTATTGGGTGTAGTGGTTTAGTATAGTTCTATGATTAATAGCTGCCACACCTGAAACACTATCTTTGAGGGCGATACGTCACTTTTGCCAGCCTCTACTGATTTACCGTCATATAGGTCTGCCCCTTATGTGCAGATTGGTGAACTCTTATCACAGACACAAATCCTATTGGCTCTCCCTCAGACACTCACAGTTCCACATCTTTCAAAAGTCTGTTCAGGGTGGAGGCCGCTTGTATTCTGTGTGTACACACAGTTGGAGGTGGAGGTTGTTCTCTGGGATTTTATTTTTGAGAGCTTTGGGAATAAGATACTTAACTGGACAGTCTGTCGATCGGGGACACGTGTTGATCAGGTGCTAAAAACTGTTGTAGTTTTGTCTGTGTGTGTTTGTGAGAAAGACATGTTGACCCTTACTTACATATTTTTTGTTATAATCATTAAATTAAAAATAGCCTTTTTATTTGGTTTTTCTTTCATATTTAAAGGCAAGTCACATTGAAATTGTATTAATACCAACATACCAACTGATTACTTCATTTAATTTGCTTATTTCATTATCTATTTAACTCAATGAACTAGTATCACATGACTATTTTTACATAATTGGTATTGTTCCCCCATGTCAAATGTCATGCCAATAGAGCAAGCTGAATTGAATTTGAATTGAGAGGAGAAAAAAAGATACTGTAGCTTTATTTTGCTCTATCTGTGTGTGTGTTACCCCAGATAGCATGCAGTCATTTACGCCCTGTATTTTACGTGTGTGTGGGTATGTGTGTGCGTGTTGACATACTGGACCTGCCCCCTGTTTGCATTTGAGTGTTTGAGTAAGGGTAAACACTGCATGCACACACACCAACACACACACATGCACCAACAGACACACGCACACACACAGTTTGAAGTTGTGGCTTATTTGCCTCAGGACTGTTGTGTTGTGCCAGCCAGAGCAGGATTGAATGGAGGGGAACTAAACAATACGGCAGATATAATCTCTCTTTCTCTCTCTTCAGAGCTCCGTCGACACACTGCACCTTCACCTCCAGAGAGGCCGACACACACTCCTACAGCACAGAGGAAGAGAACCTGACAAAGGACACTACAGTGACCTCCAGCAGTTAGACCGCACCTGATCCCACATCCTTCAAAGAAAAGGGAACCCGACTCTGGAACAGGAAAAAGCAGCGATCAGACCCCACCGCTGAAACACGACCCACTGTTCAGAGAGACAGAGGGGCTGACAGCCGTCTCTGACACCCGGGAGAAGAGGCATCATGCTGGCCAAAATCCTTGAGGACATGTGGGTGGAGCCCGAGGTGCTGGAGGCCCTCAGCGAGGAGCAGAAGAGGATCCTCTTCTTGAAGATGAGAGAAGAGCAGGTACGCCGCTGGATGGAGCGAGACGAGAAGGAGGAGAAGGAAGGAAGAGACAACAAGAGGCCAAAGAAAGGTAAGAGTGCAACAATGAATCTATTTGATATAAGGGGAGTCCCGGCACATAGGGAACACACTACACTACAGTTTGAGTATTATCAGCAGTAAAGCAAAACAGGAAAACACTGACTACAGTTTCAGGAAGTAACATGGTTTCTGGGAAATGTGGCTTTTATGTTGACTATCAGTAACATAACTCTGACATGAAGTCAAAACAGCCAGCTTACATTGTCATTTCCTCACCGGAAAGCACCAGTGTGTTTCAACTCAATTCACAATTATGAATCGAAAAGATTAAAACTGCAGTAGACTACATTTATAATAATCTTTACTTGAATCAGACCATTCTCCAAGATGCAAATATGTACAGAAATAGGTCATCTTAAAAGCAAATGTTTGGAGATAGGCTTCTTTGCACTCTTGAGATTTGTTGAGATTTAGATCTGAACATTTTCAAATACATACAAATATTTGTTATTCCTGAATTTCTATAGTTTATCATTTTGGTGATTAAAACAACCGTTATATCTGTCCATGAAATATAGGGTTTCACCCCGCTGTAGGTTAGCTTAGCTTTAGCATGGAGACAGTTAACAACTAGCTCAGCTCATATTGAGGGTTATGAAATCAACCTACCAGCACTTTTAAATCTCATGAATACACATGTTCTATCTTATTTATTTAGGCAGTACACAAATTGAAGTGAAAACAAATGATTCCCTGGAGCCTCTCAGACAAAGCTAGCTAACATGTTCCCTGTTTCCAGTCGCTAAGCTAAGCAGCCGGTTGCTTTAAAGCTGTATTTGTTGGACATATATGAGAGTGATATTGACTTAAATGTATTTCCTAAATGTTGAACTATTGGATTATTCTTTTTGTCTTTTTTGATAGGGCTATAGCTTGCTTTAATTAAATCGTTTTCAGATAACAGATCTTCAAATTTGATTATTTTTAGACAACATTTCAAGATTTTCATCTATGATATAGCATTTAGAGAGGAATACATTAATAGAATTTGAAATTAGAAATCAACACATATTTTGATTGCTACTCAAAATTGTCTTCTGAATGCATGAATGCGGTTGTCAAAACGTACAATAATGCGCTCAGAATTTTGTTTAGTACTCATATAATTATTACACACATTAAAAAACTATTTATGAAGAGTATTTAGTCTAATATAATAGTATTATATTAGACTAATATAATAGTATTATATTAGACTAAATACTCTTCATAAATGAATATAGGTGAAAGTAGAATGAGTAATAGTAAGGTATTATACCTTACTATTACTCATTCTACTTTCACCTATATTCATACACTTTATCACTTGTGATATTTCTGCGTGCACAAACACATTTATTATAGTATACTACAGGCAGAATATGTTTGAGATTTACTAAAATTGTTTATTCAAGCCCTTTCACAACTAATTAATGAGCTGAAATCTTGTCAGCTGAGTGCACTTGATACACAAGCTGTGTAGTAACACCCTCTCACATTACCAATCTGATTAATGTGTTTAAAATACACACAATGTAACAGTCCTTTCATTACTCTGTCAGCAGCCCATGCTCAATCACCTTCCCTCCACTATCTTCTGACTCACTGAGACCCTATATCACCTGCACTGGATCTGCTGGACAATGGTTGTGTGTGTGTGTGTAACACTGTGAGTGTGTGTGTCTGCCTCCATCACCGCCAGTCCAAAGCTGAATAAGATTGAGTAAGCTCTGTGGTTTGGGGCGTCGCCAAGCTTAAATCGCATATTAAATTACCGTCTTTTGTTTACCCAATCTGTGCCATGTCATCTGAGAGCCAGCCGAGTGTGTGTTTGTTGCGTGTTCCCGTAACACAACATGAAATCCAGTTAGGTGTGTTTCATTGTTTGTTCACTGCAGAGTTGTTGGGACAGTCATTGCGTGTATGCAGGCATTTGAATGTCACATAAATGCACAATTAAATATGACTTGCTGCATTTCTGGTTATTTGTGGGTGCGGTGTGAATTCAAAGGTGTGTTTCACAGACACACTATGACTTACTGCATGTCAGATATGAAGGTAGATATGGTGCAAAATGCGAGAACGTGTAAAACCTGATGTGAACACTTGCAGAAAAAAAATCTTAGCTTGTGTGCATACATTTACACTTGTATAAAATATCCACGTATCTGTGAACCAAATTTGAAGTCACAGAAGAAGAAATAAGTTTTGTTACTTGTAGAAAAAAAATGAATTTAGTGATGAAATGTTCACTTGTTGGAGAAGTAGTTATTTAATTGAATCTGGCTTCGTATGATTAAAAGTAACACGATCATCGACCCGACGCAGTCCCCCATTGTTGTTGTGGTGAGCGAAGCACGGAGCTAGAACGGGAGCTGTGTTGGTGTGAAAGGGCCAACAGTAGTTGTGTGTGACTGACCCGAGCTTGTGCCTCGTCGTTCTGATAGCTCCGCCTCTTCGCTCCAACCCCCCTCCCTCCCCCCACATCTACAGGTGAAAATTACTTTAGCGACACATTCATCGCAAGAAGTGTAGCAAAGGTCAAGACCGCAGATTCGGCGATTTATACTGCCACAGAGCAGATTCGTGAAGTTCTAATGACTGACTTGAGAGGTTGGAATAACCAAGTTGCAGTTGTAATGGAAAATAAATTAAAGAAATATATATTTTTCTGCAAGTGAACATTTCATCACTAAGTTCATTTTTTTTCTACAAGCTACAACACTTAATCTTCTGTGACTTCAAATTTGGTTCACAGATACGTGGATATTTTATACAAGTGTAAATGTATGCACACAAGCTCAGATATTTTTTTCTGCAAGTGCTCACATCAGGTTTTACACGCTCTCGCATTTTGTACCATATCTACCTTCATATCAGAGATGGTCTTGAGCGACTGAGACGTCTACACAATGTACCCTTATGTGCTGTTCGACAGTGCGCAAAGTCATTCCCTCAAATATGAAGAGAAACAGAGCTGCCTTTGTGAGCTGGTTTCAATAATAAATCTGACTGATCAGTTCACTGTTAGGAGCTGATTGTCTCTATGGACAAGTACTCAGATCTTGTACTGACAGACTGTGAAAAATAACCCTACTACAAGTTAACCAAAACACAAGTTAAAGTATTATCGGCAACATTTACTTACATTATCAAGTAAATGTAGTCATGTGCATTTAGGCAAAGGCTTAAATCCCTGTGTTCCCTCCAGAGGGAGTTCCTCTCCCTCAGCTCTGTGACGATGCATTTCATCCTTCAGTTTATCACAAACATTCAAAGTTAAGACATCTGGGGATGTGTGGTTTTTACTGGACTGGAGGCAAAGTAATTAAAGCTGTTTGATCATTGTAGTGAAAGGTACAATATTTCCTTCTGACATTTAGTGTAGTACAAGTGTAAAGTAGCACAAATTGGAAGCACTCCAGTAACCTGCATTTAGCCTTAAATAGCCCACAGTACTTGAGTAAATGTACTTCGCTATATTCCACCAATTTCACTTCCAATCGTCAGAAGAAGTGCTGCTGAACAGCTTTCTGACATTTAAATGTTCAAGCCACACCCCTAAGACGATGATGTCACTGCAGGTGTTTTACTATTATCAGGTGTCATGGAAAACACCTGTTATCACTCAGCATTGGGGAGTGGAGGTTATTTTTGCCAGCTGTGTCATGATGAGGTCAGAACTAAAAATACTATTTTTAGGTAATGGAATACATGTTTGGAGTTGATTTCTGTATATTATGAGCTAAAGATTATATTATTACATATTATTCACAATTGAGTGAATTAATCTAAATTCAGTTTATGCAATGACAAATATAAGCAAACAACATGTTGGCTTTTTCCACACTTCAGAGGGAGTTTCTGTCAAACTGCCCCAGGTCAGTTTCATGTAGCTCTGCCGGCATAACAGGAATGAGGTCACAGCTTTTAACGTCTTTCTTTTCTTTTGTAATCCCACATTATTGAAACACTGTATCAATATTCTACTGTGCCTGTTTGCAGTGATATACAGTGAATTTCCTTCAATAGAAAAACACATAAAAAGAGATACAAGAATAAATCTGTGACAGTTTAACAGAGAAAGAAAGTCCATTGCTGTATTCTGAGGTTTCCCCAAACTCTATACTTGTAGGACAGCACCACCTTCTGGATAAAATACAGAATAACAGCTCATGCAACCATAGCTTTCATCACAATGTTGCTGAGAGACAAGAGCTTACATTTTTATTTCCCTCCAGCTTTCAACAAACATGTGAAGTGGCTACTGGGTCGGGATGGAGAGGTGAGCGTCAGAGTGATCGGAGAGGTGGACGAGCTCAGATCCTCCAAACTCCTGCAGAGCCTCATGAACACCAGGTAAAAAAACAAAAACCTTTAAAGAAACGACATGGTATCACTAATGGACTCATTTTTGCATTTTGTGTCATTATTTACCAGTTTGTTTGCAGAACAGTGCAGTTGCTTTTCTCAATAGATGAGGAACTATTACTTGTTTCATAAAAAATGTAGAACCCTGGAAAGAAAATCCTATTAATCACCTCCACCAAGTCCACTCATCCCATGCTGATAATAGGTCTGTTTTATTTTCAGTTTTTCTATTGAATGATAATATATATATAACAATAATTCCAAAGACATGTACTGATTCATGAATTATAAAAATGTAAAGCATAATTTTAATTTTTTTTATCCAGAACATTTTTTTTTTCCTTTTTTTTTTTTATCCTTTATTTATCCAGGAATGTCCCATTGAGATACAAGATCTCTTCTTCCAGGGAGTCCTGACCAACACGGCACACAACAAGTTTCAACATAAAACAAGGGCATTAAACAAAAAACATACAATTCAAATATAAATACAGAAGGCCATTTGTGCAGTGGCAAGAAGCATAATCACATCAGCAATAGCATCAGGTAAAACAGTTACATGTTTCATGAAGGGCTAATCGTAGCATACCTTTAAAAGCATTTACAGTAGGAAGTGCCTCTCGACAAAGTTTTACTTGCAGCGTATTCCATAAAAAGGGAGCATAGTGGGAGAATGCAGTTTTACCAAGCTCTGACTGCATCAAAGGAACATTTAAAAGCATCCCATTTGCTGCTCGTCTGGTATTAAAAAAGCAAGTATAAAAGGACAGAAGTCTGGAGATATATAAGGGCAGCTTACCTAGCAATGACTTAAGGATAAAAATCAACATGTGTGATTGTCTTCTTTGGTACAGAGAGGACCATCCTAGGGATTGATACAAAGTGCAGTGGTGGGTGCGAGAGCCTGCACCCGTTACAAAACGTATAGCAGTATGGTACGCAGAATCCAGCTTTTTAAGCAGGGAGGAAGGAGCATGCATATAGATCACATCGCCATAGTCTAATACAGACAGAAAGGAACTCTGCACAATTCTCTTCCTGGCTTCAGACGGGAAACATTTCTTTAAACGGAAGAAAAAGCCCAGTTTAGGTCTAAGTTTTCTCAGTAGGTTCCCAATATGAACATCAAAGGCCATCTTTTCATCAATCCATATGCCCAGATATTTGTAGGATGCTACTTTGTCAAGGCATGTCCCTTCCAGTGTCAGAATCGGAGGGACAGCTGTATTAGCTCGAGAGCGAGAGAAGGTCATGTACTTGGTCTTTTTTGCATTAAGGACCAGTCTTAGCCTTAGCAAGGAGTGTTGCAGTGTATTAAAAGCATCCTGTAGAAGCTCTATGGCCTGAGTTAAAGAGGAAGCCACTGTGTAAACAACTGTATCATCGGCGTATAAATGAAACCGTGCTGGGTTTATCCCATTTCCTAGTTCATTTATAAAGATGGAGAATAAGACGGGGGGCCAAAATAGAACCTTGTGGAACACCTTTGTTTACAGTAAGAGCAGCTGAGGTATAATCTTCTACTGAGACACACTGAGTTCTTTCAGATAGATAGTTTTTAAACCAGCTCAAAGCCATTTTGCCAAGACCTATGCAGCCAAGCCTCTGCAGTAGCAATGCATGATCCACAGAATCAAAAGCTTTAGACAGATCAACAAACAATGCTGCACAGTGTTTTTTCTTGTCTAGTGCTTCAATTATGTCATTTGAGACTAGCATAGCCGCTGAAGTAGTACTATGGCCTGATCTGAAGCCTGACTGAGACTCGTTAAGAATATTATGGTCAGTTAGAAACTTTTTCAGTTGTTCGTTTACAAGAGATTCAAAGACTTTGGCCATTACAGACAGTCTGGAAATAGGGCGATAATTATTTAGGTCAGAGGGGTCTCCGCCCTTTAACAAGGGGAGAACCATGGCCGATTTGATGGAAGCAACTACATTTTCAGATCCCCTGAACTCCATAACATGATAAACCTATGTCTTTATGTTAGCTTTTCTTTATTTTAAATGTTAAGTAACAGCTATGTTGCGTAGCTCTTCCACGTGTTTTTGCAGAAAAACATAAGAACATCCACCCTAATAAGTCCTTCGGCCTCATCAACAAATGACATGACTGTGATGGACTTTGATAAGATCAACGTTGAATTAAAGAGCTCGCCATAATTGGATTATGGAAGTAATTTGCCTTATGACTAACAGGAGGATTGATTCAAAGGTTAGGACGGCTGTCTGCGGGACTAAAAATGGACGTCTTTGTCTTCCAGAGTCCACGCTGATGATGTGAGTGGCGTCCAGGCGCTGGACTTGCAGCCAGGAAGAGAGGCCCAGCAGCAGCTCCACGTTAAAGAGGCCATCCAGCTGTCCCTCGCTGATGTGAGTTTTCACGTGTTTGTGAGTGGGTTTTAAGTCTGCTGGGGTAAGATGAGCAGAGTCTCACCATAGAATGTCCTCCCACTAATTTTCAGGATGACCCCGCTTCAACTCATGACCGGTGGTCTGAGGAGGACTCCTGCAGTGCTGATGATGACCTGAAAGACCCCGCCGGGGACAGCGACAGCGAATCAGGGGGAGACTGGGCTCCTCTCTACAGGCCCCATTTTAGTAGCCATGGCAACCGGCCACTGCTCAAAGCCCAGCTGTCAGACACAGAGAGGGCCGGCACGCAGGACACAGGTAACAAGATGGAGAGAAAGCAGATTGTGTTAGTCATTCACTCATTATACATAGGTATAAAGGTATTTCCACATGTAAATACAGTGTGAACTCTTATAGTGATCACATTTATCTGGGTCAAATTGATCACCAAAAATGCACCATTATAACAGATTTTTCTTTTTTTATATATTAGATGCAAATTACCATCTATTTGACATTTCTTTTTCTGGCATTAATGACTGTATCAAACACCTTTTCAAATGACCCTACAAATAAAATGAGATAACTGTGTGTTATTCAAAAATACAGCATTTTAATTTAAAATGTAGCTCTCTTGAAATTATTAAAATGTAGCTCTCTTGAAATTATTAGACACATAATCTCCCTTCCTTGTAATTTTGGTTTTGTGAAAGTCATTTATTTCTATTTGCAGATTATTTTCTCCAAATTCAATACCATTCTTCATGGCTTTAAGGTATTTAATCCGGATAAAACCCCCATTAGATTATCTGAAAATGCATTTTCGCACAATACAAAAAAAGAATATTACTATGTTTTATATAATACATACGATTAGTGTTAGGACTGTTGAAGTGTTAAATTAAAGGACATTAAGAAATAATACAGGCAAAAACAATGGCGTTTTTTTCATGCACTTTTCAGTTTTGGCACTATTTTGCTTCCGTATGTTTCAGACTAGTTGAAAAAACATCCAATAGATGAGAGTAACACCTATGTCACTTCCGGGCGAAAATTACGGCCCGCCCACTTTTGGAGAAAAACAAGCTGTCATTTGAATGGCGGTCAATACAAATTCTGAAGTTTTTGCCACTCTGATCAGACATTTTTGAAAACCATGGATTTTTGTATCTTCTAAGAGCCCGATTTCCAGTCAGGCAAACAATTACATTCGATCATTGGAAATCGACAATCGGTCTTGATATATGGTTAAATTAAAATCAGTAGGCGAGGCTGTAATTTCGCCAGCTGTTACTCTCATGAGCGAGGCGGAAAATAATGCCAAAAAGCTGCTGTGTCGTTTATTGCACCTCAAACATTAAAACAAATCCAGAGTTACGTGGTTCTGTATTTCCTCTAAGAAAAAAGGACAGTAAAAGAAGAGCTCTGTGGCTTCAGGCTTGATCGCCGTTCAAATGACAGCGTTGGTTTCCCCCAAAAGTTGGCGGGGCCGTAAAGTGACGTAGATGTTACTCTCATCTATGGACATCGATAGCCTACTGCTATATTTAACCATATATTGAGCCCGATCGTCGATTTCCAATGATTTAATGTAATTGTTTGGCTGTCTGGCCATTGTAACCGGGCTCTTTGAAGATCCAAAAATCCACAGTTTTCTTATATTTCTGATCAGATTGGCAAAAACTTCAGAATTTGTATTGGCCGCCATTCAAATTACAGCTTTGTTTTCCCCCAAAAGTGGGCGGAGCCGTACTTTTTGCCCGGAAGTGACACATGTGTTACTCTCATCTATAGATACACAAGGTATTTTATTCTCTAACTTTGTCTATTTGTGTCTGTAGGTCTCTGCTAAATGAACCAAAAACTATTACTAAATAATGCCCAATTGTTATATTCAAACTAAATATTTCAGAAAACTTGGAAGTAATCACCCGGGAAGGTTATATGATGTTATCTATTTGTTAAAGGGTTTACCATATTAACTTGTTGCGTATGACGCATGTTTTTTCCCCATACTTTCAGATAATTATCCAGTAGCATTTACAGTTATTCATAGCCTGATGTATAGAAAATGTTGTTCCTAAAAACTAGCGCAAATGTTATTTTCTGATTTATGGAGTGATACGAATATATTTTAAGTACCTCTTTTTAAAACCTCTGACTCTAATATCTCAATTGAGAATTCTGAACCTTGCTTTATCCAATGTCCAGATTTTTGTTTTGGATTTGTATGCTAATGAGCATATTTTAACAAGATAATGAGAAATTGCTCCTCTCTTCATTTTCAGAGATTGTGTGTAGTGAAGAGAAGAATTCAGACTCTGGAGGCCGTGTGGCGCAGCTCAGGAGGGCGTTCACAGACAATTCCCGCAGCACACCTGCCTCCAACAAACCTCCTATACCTGCCAAACCTGCTCACCTGCAGCAAAGAAGCACTCCCTTGGTCCATTAAGAGTGAAGGTGTGCCTAGCCTGCTAAGAGAAGACACTGAGTGACCCCACAGAGGCAGAGCCTGCTGTGTCACAAGCTCTGTGCAGAGAATAATGGCTCAGCTAGACACTGGTGATCCGGGATGTTGCCACAAACACTGGAAGAAAAAGGATCCTTACTTGAACCTTAGCAGTGGACTGAGATACACTTGCCTACCTGCAGACAGAGGACCGTCTAGAGGGGTGGATCGACGAAAAAGACTTGAAAGCTTTTCAACCAAAGTCAACATGAATGAGAAAAACGGATCCACTTTGATGTTGCCCAGTTCAAATATGCTCATAGTTTGTGTGAGTGACAGGCAGACGCAGACAGAAATGTCCAGAGACGCTCAGACTCTCCACTACAGGTGCACAGACACCATGGTGCATGTGTTAAATGAGTGCTAATGAAGTCATAAGCAGAGGTTATTGGGAGCGGAAACATGTATTTGATAAAAAATCATATATGCAGGTCCTTCTGTATTGTTCAAAAGCTTTAAACTGTTTTAAATGTAGCCCATGTAACTGATTTAACAACACTGACTTTCATATATTCATACAGTATATCAATGCTTCAGGTTTTTACGGAATAAAATAAAAGGACTGAATTCATGTTAAAATAAACACACTGTTACTAGTGCCTTTATCTCAGGGGAGGTTTCCAAACATTTTACAATCCTTCATGTTTACTTATCTCACACACATACACATACACATACACACACACACACACACACACACACACACACACACACACATTCACTGATGACTGGCTCATAACCTGCAGTATAACCTGACTAACTGTGATCTCATATTTTCCTCCTGACACTTGAAACACACCTTTAACAGTCTGCTTTCTACGAGGAGTCAAAGGTGGCAGGCGAGGCTCCGAATAGGAAAGGCTGATATTTGACCAACTATTGTACTCGTTTCAAACACCAGAGAAAAAGTTATTATGTTTAGAACAGCAAATCCATGAAACTACTGATTAACAATAAGCACAAGAGTTACCCCGGGCTGGATGTTTAAAGCAGAGGCCTGTATGACGAAGCCGGTTCAACATAACCTGGATATGTTTGAGTTAGCCGGTTGGCCTAATCCAAAACATACGCGCTCTCGCTAAACGGTCCTACGACGCGGGTTATCAAGTGGATCGCTCCAGCCAGCCGTGTCCTATCTAGTTAGGTGCGCGTTCACATGAAAGGGGTGGTATTTGGAGCATTCGACCAATCACAAACATGGACAAGCGTACTGACAGTGTATACTTCCTGAATGAAAAGTCAACTATAATATTAGACAAATATGAAGACTTTAAACATCCATGACTTAAACCCAGAGTGGATCTGACTTTAATTAAATTTGAAGTGTTTCGTCAACTTAATGTGTCAAAATAATACTTTTGCATACAGTATGTGGTTAGCCGCTCAGCATAAGTTACCATGAAGATCTAGCCCGCTAAAAAGAGAACCAGCGTCGTAGGACCGGAAACCCAGAGTTTTCCCTAAAGTTAGCCCGCTAAGCGAAAATCCGGCTTCGTCGTACAGGCCTCAGGTGCTAGTGAAATTTGATGCAACAAACAATAACAAATAGCTTCCTAGGCTACAGAAAACGAGATTCAACAATGCTAACATATGAGAAGCAGTCGTTTGTTGTGTTAGAAACAAGGCTAACAAAAGGAATTAAGAATAATATAAATTAACTAATGAAATACATACAAAGTTAATGACAACAAGCGTGAACAAACAACCACAATCTAAATCATAATCACAACCGGAAGTGTGGATTTACAAAATAATTACAAAGGTTGATAATCGGTGCTACCAAATGTTGCTGTGCAAGCAGAAGTAGGCCTACCTTGCTAGCTGTAGCCCAGGTTATGTTTTTTTACTTTGATAAATAATGGACCAATTTCCATTCTCGAGCATCGTCATGGAGGCCCAACCCACTCTCACGGCATTTCGTGTTATAGTCACATTTAATCTATTGATTCGTGTTCACCAACACGATTTTACCCTTTTTTTCGTGTCACACAGAACGATTTTAAAGCAATGTATTTCTATTGGTAGTATGTTTGTGCCTGCACCACATCTTTTTGTCCGGTCGGGTCTTGGAAGACCGGAAGCTGTGTGGTTCATAAAAACATGTTCTTACTCAATATCAAGCCACGATTATTGTTTTTATTTTAAATCGTATAATGTGGGACTTTTTGCCGTCAATGAGGAAAATAAATGGGGCTCAGAGCCTCAGAATACTGAAATCTGTATTTTTTTAAATCTTGTTTTCCTTCTAATTTGTTATTCTTGTGTAATAACACACTGTTATTTACTCAACAATAACACACAATTATCCTTGTTTTTATTTATTTGTTTAATTCTATAATCTCTGGCTTTTTTGCCATCCTTCAGGAACTGAATTTCTAAATAAAATAACCGGAAACAGATACACACCCACTGAACTGATTACCCAAGATCCTCAGCTATGGTTGAAGCTCAGTGATTGGATTGTTTAGCCGCAATGCACGTTGGAATATGGTGTTAATGTGATATGAAATCCGAAAAACATTTAAGAAAAGAAAATAATACTTTAACCCGAGTGTGCTTGCTTTTCTCTTTGAAAGTCATCACATAACGGCATTGTAATACACGGTTCGGCTGCATTACATATTACACATCTGCCGTAGTTCTCTATTTATAGAGCCCTGATGAGAAGACTTCTAGACAAACTAGAAGAACTGCCACGGAAACTGTATACGTGACGTGGATCATAGATATATCAGCAATTAAACAACATCTTCAATTTCTCTATAAAAGGACTTTTTTTTAAAGATATTACTGATTTTCTTTTAATATAAGAATGTAAATACTGAATTGAGAGTATAGTCAGGGGTTTTGGGTGATGGGAGACCCATCTATGGAATCAGAATGGCAATAGCTTACCATTAAATTATGGATACACCTTTCTGTCTATGTTTTACAAATCAGATATTAATGTGTAGAAGTAAAAGATGTGAAATAATATAGCAATATCCTTTACAAATTATGTGAAAACGTGAATAAAACTACACATCTTCAGATGTTATACATACATAAGTGTCCTACACTAATAATAAAAAGTTATTATGGCATTGTATGCTGTGTGTACCTTGTGTGCACCGCCTAGTGGTTAAAGCACGTTATTGAATTATTTTTTAATATGTTATATTTGATGAAAAGAATATTAAGAGTACATACTTTCATAGGGGGAAAGTAGAAGGTCAATGATAGAAATATAGAATATAAAAAATCAAGAAGATACTGTAAGTGATCTCTACAATAAAACAGTTTAGTGCTGGATGTACACAGATATTAATATGAGGATGTGCAAAACAGAAAAACGAATTAACCTTTATTCAAACATTAAAGAATACTTTAGGTTAAGGTCTTCTTTTAAATAAGAAAAAAGCTTTGGGGTTATCTACCGATAAATATTAAGCCTGACAAAGTACTTAACGTCTAATATATTGCTTTTGTGCTATGTTAACTATGTTGAAGCACTTATTTTAACTGATATTATACATATGAATTATACTCTTATGTATGTAGATAGTATAAGAAATGGGCAGAATTTGATAGTTTAATGGTGGAGGTATACACACATATTGATAGATGTCTTGTAATGCACTGTTGAGGAACCTGCGACCCACATTTTGCATTCATTGCATAACTTCAACATAGATGTGGATATGATATGTCAATAAACCTTTATACAGTCTTTAATTAACTATTAGTAGAGAATAACGAGTAATGAATATACTTTATAGGGATCTGCAGATAATTATTTGGTCATCACAAGCACCAACTATCAAATATCTCTCCTGATTGTTGGCACTTGACAATCCCCTTCCCTGAATTTTACTCAGGTGTAACTAAAGTCTGCTTTAAGGGTTGTTTATATTTCAGATCATTAATCAGAATCTACAAAGTAAGAAAAATAAATGTAGTGGTCCCGGGATGGTCCCGTTCAAGTCTCTAGTTTTGGATAGTCTGCCATGGTTTCGTTCCATTTCAAAGTGCTGTTTTTGACGCTCGGCGTAACCTTGGCGTACTGCTGCTCCAACATTCAATCCCAGAGTTTGAAGATTAATCACGGGGTTTGTCAAGCAAAGGGACTGTAGTCCCAAACAATAGCTGAGGATTATGGGTAGTGTAGTGTCTTCGGCCATCCCAAACTCCGAAATGTTTTTCGGATTTCATATCGCATAAACACCATATCCCAACGTGCATTGCGGCTAAACAATCCAATCACCGAGCTTAAACCATAGCTGAGGATCTTGGGTAATCAGTTCAGTGGGTGTGTATCTGTTTCCGGATATTTTATTTTGAAATTCAGTTCCTGACGGACGCCAAAAAAGCCAGAGATTATAGAATTAAACAAATAAATAAAAACAAGGATAATTGTGTGTTATTGTTGAGTAAATAACCGTGTCATTTAGAAAAGAATAACAAATCAGAAGGAAAAAAAGATTTTAAAAATACAGATTTCAGTATTCTGAGGCTCTGAGCCCCATTTATTTTCCTCACGGACGGCAAAAAAGTCCGACATTATAAGATTTAAAATAAAAACAATAATCTTGGCTTGATATTGAGTAAGAACATGTTTTTATGAACCACACAGCTTCCGGTCTTCCAAGACCCGACCGGACAAAAAGACGTGGTGCAGGCACGAAACACACAACCAATAGAAATACATTACTTTTAAAAAAGGCTAAAATCGTGTTGGTGAACACGAATCAATAGATTAAATGTCGTGACTATAACACGAAATGCCCTGAGACTGGGTTGGGAGGCCACAGTTGTACTTCATGTTGAGTGCTAAATAGCATATATTAGCATTCCAACATGCCGCACATGGTGACATGTTAAGAATTGGACCAGTTTAACATTCAAATGTTAGCATTTTGAGCATGTTAGCATGCTGACATTAGCATTTAGCTAAGAAACATGGCTGATCCCCGTTAATCTTATTACATTACATTATAGTTACATTTCATTTAGCTAGCACTTTTATCCAAAGCCACTTTCAATAAACCATAAAGATATAAACACAGAACAAAAAGTTTCAGTTTGTGACTGAAGATATGTAAGATGTATTAAACTAAATTCTGCAATTTAGTGGACCAAAAGTAATCTCACATGTTAAGAACAACTTTAAAACGGTAAACTAGTCATTTAACATTTTGAGATCATTCTTTGACAAAAGATTCTCATTTCAAGGTCCACTAACTTGTTACGGTGAGTGAAGCAAGCAGGACCCAAACACAGATAACACTGAAAAATCCTTTATTTCAAGGCTAACGTCAAAAATCAGAACACTCCCCGGTGAACACAGTCACAGACAAACGACAAACCAACACAACACAGGGAAAAGGACCAGACAATATACCAAGAGGAAAACATGACAGGGCGAACAGCAAAACACCCAAAACAAGACATAGGCCTACAAAACGTGACATAACACAATAATCGTAACATAACTCGGTTTTTCCAGAGCTATGGGCCCCATCTCAGTCGCTATCATGTGACCGAGAAATCCATACTGTCACACGGCAACAACTAAACCATGACAGTGCAAACAACAGATATGTGGCTAATAGCTCTGGAAACCAAGTAAGT